TTAACTAAAGGGTTAAGAAGAGATCTCGTGCAAAAATCGGCTAAAGGGATGGGATTAAAGTCCATTTGATATCTCTCGTGTTAAGATACCCAATTCCCACCTAATACGACGTTAGGTGTAGAATTCAATGTGGAAAGCTTAACATCAAGAGATTGGAACACAACATTAGCATCATCCAAAGGTATGTGTTCAAAACTGCAAGTTAAAGAGGTTGAAGTTAATCTTCTTAATAGTTCTTTTGAAAAATTGTGTGTGCAGGTACAAGACATAAAAGAACTACCTATACGAGTATGAAGTTTAGCCGCTTCACAAAGTTTGGACTTGACTTTTATGTGCTCGTTGAAGGATAGGGACACAAGGCTAGTAAAATACGGTGTCAAGCTTGGAACAAAGAAGTACTTAGAGCTTATGTGTATATTATCTTCATGTATTCATATGAATTGAAAGGGTTCAATCCTTAGAGACACCCCGAAATTCGAATATTTGGAATGTGTAATATACTAAAATGAAAATTCAATCATCGCGACATTTTCATTTATGCATAAGTTTGTTGAATTTATTATCTCAGAAAGTAAGTCATGGATTACACTAAAATAGGGGAGGATTGTTGGTGATTTTAGTGTCATCAATTTATTTTATGTAATTGGATTTACTTTGATCGGACAAGAATTTAAATAGACGTTGTCAAACGAGTTAGGAGGCGCGCTCGTTCAACGATATTATAAATTCACTGCGGGGGTCCGGGGGCGGCAGCCCCCGGGTAGTAGGGTCCAAGGGGCGGCAGCCCCTGGCGGGGTCCAAGGGGCAGAGCCCCTGGCCGGGGTCGACCGGGACAGCTTGGAAATTTTTTATTTCGGACGTTGTTTCTTTAAGAAAATCCTTGAGATTTTCGTGACCGGAGTCCAAAACGGTAAAGGACTCGTACACAATGGATAAACGTCGAAATTAAGCTTTCAACCGCAGGAGACCTTTCGTTCAAACTCGCACCTTTCTTCTTCTTGCGCGAACGTACGCGTACATCTACGCGAATGTTCATGTCCGATCACAAGGATTTTCGACTCTATAAAATAGAGTCTCGTGGTATGGGTTGAGAGACAGATTCTCGAGTGCTTGTTCTGAATTAACGTCTTATCCGATTGAAGTATTTCGTATACCCCGAAATAACTTTGATCTGAAAGCGTTTCGTACGCAATTCGTTATTCTATCGAGTTCTTCATTTAACACTGCTTCGCAGTGTTCTTCATATTCTAATCCCAACACCCCACACATCACCCCAGCCTCTAATGCCAAATCAGCGATCAAGGGATTGGGGTGGGGTGCAAGGAGATTTTAGGGAGTACAAATAATCAATTTTATCAACAAACCACTGTAAGTGCCTGACTTGAGGTGAGCATGATACGGTATTTAGCTTGTATCGATACCGTACAAAATGGAAATTAGATTTTAAATCATACCGATCTCAATCCCAAAATATCGGTTTGATACGGTTTGGGATAAATGAATATCAATTTCGGTATACGGGATTTTTTGTATAAAAAAAGAAAAATAATACCTAAAACAACATTGAACATTATATTTAGAAAATTTTGGCACTTCAACATTCAACAATAATATTTAAAAAACATAAACAAAAGTAAATGTAGCAATCGTAGCATAACACAACCAGCATGTAAGCAGGCAACAATAGCTTGTGTGTCTTGAAATAACTTTGGCTTGCCAACAAAAAAATCCGAGAAATAACTTTCTAGCAATACTATAAGTCTTTGACAAAAATTAACTTGCCAACAAAAACCGTCCCAACAATTGCTTGAAGCTAACGCGAGGAAAAAGAAATGTGAGGTTCTTTGTTGAGTTTCTTAAAATATTCTTTACCATTACTTTGAAAAATTCGGCTTCTAAGCATGTTACTACAAATTAAATCTGTTCTTTAATGAGATTGTGAAAATACGTATGAAAAATTTCAAAAATGTGCTCTGCTGGAGATCAAAAGTGCCAAAGTATGGCAATACGTATGAAGAAAAAAATATGACAAATATTGTGCTTGAAAAAAATTTATGAAAATAAAAGAGAGAAAAAACAATATTCCTTCAAAGAGTGAAAAACACTCTACACTCTTGATATAAAGAGTATCTTAGGGTTGCATCAACTGGAGATGTAATTGGTGGTTCGACTTCTTCGAGTTTTGCTCATATTTCCTTAAATATTGATGATGATGATTCCCTTGAAAAAGAATTTTGAAAGGGTTTCGTTAGTACTTAGTAGCACAAGGCAGGGAGAACAAGCTAAGTTTGAAGTTGATATTTACTTGTGTGGTGATGTTCTACAAAACATTGGCGAGGATTATGATATATTATTGTGGTGGAAAACAAATTTAGATAAATATCCCACCATGAATCAAATTACAAAAAATATGCTGGGGATGCAAATTTCAACTGTAGCTTCTGAGTTGGTATTTAGTACCGGTGGAAGAGTTAAAGATTCAATTAGGAGTTCACTTAACCCAAGTACGATAGAAGCTCTCATATGTGCAGAATCCACCTAATATTGCACGTGTAACAACCTAACCTGCATAACCCGAATACTCGGATTAGCGAACCAAGTTGCTACTAAATTGGTACCCAAACACGACTTAACTTTTCAAACACTTCAATTAAATTTTTCAAAGCATAATTCAACATTCAATCGGAGTAATATTCAAAACAGTTGCGGAAGCTTAATTCATAGTTCAAACACAAGTTGGCAATCATGTCCCTAAAAAGTAATAAGTTAATTTAAATAATAAATAATACGAGTAATTCAAAATCGTCAACCACCGCCACGCACATCTCAACATCCTCATCGGCCCTCCGGGATTGGCTCCAAGTTCCTCATTCCCTGGATTACTTACGTGCAGCAAAAGAACAAATGCTACACGCTTAGCATTGAAGCTAAGTGAGAAATATCTAGCTAACATACATTAGTTTTTGGTATATTTTTAATGTTTTACTCCTACATTAGTTTTTTTTTCTTTTTGTGCGAGGAGATCCAAAAAAATGATATGCACCAACTGATCAAAGAAACACTCACTCCCATAATGTTTTTTGTTACTTTAATTTCATTAAATTTTAGATGGCAAAGAAAAGAAGGGTTAACGTGAGTAGAACGAAAATATAAAAAGTGATGCTCTGCAACCCAAAGAAAAGTCGTATACTAGTTCAAATTTTCTTGCGCAATTTCTGAACTATGGCTACTAGTTCAAATATTTTCTTTTACACTAAAATCTATTAATCATATCCACTCAAACTTAGAACCAAGAAGCACAGAACAAAGCAAAAGATTTTAGAAAAATCCTTGATACTTGGAAATTTCGAAGTTGAAATTGAGAAGAAAACCAGCAATGAAAAATCAAAGTACTCAGGAATTGGAGCCACTTATTGCAAGATGGAGTATCTGCAACTGGAAGAAGAGGAACTCGAAGAAGAATAAGAAGAAGAGTCGAAGTACTCTTAGTCTCTTACGGGCCATTACGAGTCTACGACTTGCGAGAAATGAGGAGTGACGAGTGAGGATTGACTATTGAGAACCCTAGGTAGCAAAAGAATTGTTCTGTAGTATAAATGACTCAATACGGGATTTTCAAGATGGGATCCAAGTTTATACCCTTCCCAAATACCAAACTAAATATTAGGTTCGGTACAATTCAAATGTTTTTGGTTTTTCAAACAGTCAAATTCGGTACGGGTTTAAGGTTTTTTGGGATTTTTTCAGCATTGGTTTGGAAAATACTCACCCCTAGGTACCTCAAAGTCATTTTAATGTCAAAATAATCAATCCGTGTAGTGTGTTAACAATAGTAATGCTCAAAACGTCACTTAAAGATATCATGAAATGTGGGAGATGTGGTGGTATACGATATGATTGTAAAGTCTTCACATGAGTCAAAATGGAATACACATGTGCTTGCTGCTAGGAGTGCTAGCATCTATGCAAGGACGAAGCTACCCCTCCATCCAATTGAGAAGGTGAAAAACAAAGAACAAACAAAACTATAAATAAAATACACACACATACATGCATGCATAGGCAGGCAATTCACGCCCAAGGGACCTATGCATTTGAATCCTTCCATTAGTAGTAGTGTTTACAGGATGGATTTGGCATCACTGCTGATGATAGTGTCAAATGCTGATGTCACCCAAGGCACGTCTGTCCTCCGGCAAAGTTTGGAACAAAACAAAACTGTAATACAGCAATTGCCAGGGCTAGTCATGTCTTTTTCCCCACACGTGATTGCTCGGTCAGGTACCTACGCCATTGTAAGTTTGTAACGAATGAAGTGTTCACTTTAGTCACAATTTCTAGACATGAGAGCACACAGCTGAATCAATCCATGGCTAGTATTGATTCGTTGACTACATGGTTTTAATGAAAATAGTGCGGCTTAGCAGATTCTTACTTTCCAGTGTAGAAGCCAGCAGAATACCATGCATGCAAAACCTCTGAAAGGGCTGTCTCGGGCTTGGATTCATTGGCTACATGATCATTACTCGTCTTTAGTGCTCCCTCATCACCTGAATGCAAATTAACTTAGTAGCATGGTCAAGAATAGTATAACTATTGACCAAATAAGCTGCCACTTTCTCTAGGGAATCTAAAGTTTCAAGATCACAAGTTTAGGAGAATCTGCATTTGACGGTAATACATGGAAATTCCACCCTATTATTCTTATATGTTCCTTGGGGGTTGGCCGTTTTCCAATATAAGGAATTATACAAAGATAAGGACCGCACACATCTTCCCTCCCGCATCACCACTCACAAGAGGGATAAACTGGATACTCTTATTTTGTTTATAAGGAACCAATTGGATTGTAACTACATACCCTCAGGGCCACTTGTTCTCATTTTTATGCTTCCTGTTTTTTATTCCGAGTATAACTAAGCACAAGATTACAAAAACAAGAAAAGATTTTATGTTCTCATTTGCAATGTGTTTGTTTCAACCGAACATGCATAGACTACTCCATCCGCCCTCTATTTATCTTTCCTTATTCTTTTTGTACCACCCCTAAACAAAAAGAGGGCAGATGGGGCAGTCTATTCAGAGAAATGTTAGTCATAACAAACACATCACCAAGAGAAGTTTTTGTTCGGTTGAAAAAAAAACAAACTTACCAAAATCTTCCCTCAAGGAAGATAATGCTTTCTCCGCAGAACACATTGCTGTTCTCACAATATCAGGTTGTTGAAGAGACGAGGTTTGATCGCACTTGCTTTTTAGAGTATCATCAACATTTTTATCTGTGCAATTTCCACCCACGTAACAGGATGGTGATGCCATGACTGGAGGCACCCAACTCTGGCATCCATAAGGGCAGTAAATAGAGGAGGCCATAGAGTTAGGAGCCTGTTCTGCATAAGTGTGATGATCTTGAGCCGTTAAGGTACTAGAATCACCAAATTGGTTAAGCCTCTGTAAAACCATTTGCCTCTGACCCTCAAGTTCATAGTACTTCTCAAGCAAGCAGGTGTAATCTTCTACACTTTGTGAGTTTACATGGCTTGTGGTTTTATCAAGGGGCTGTTCAATACCACTTGCCACTGTGTAAGTTTTTTCATTCATATGTGAAGCAATACTAGGTTCCCCCGTTTCTGCTGTCTTCGTTGATGAATTTTCATTATCATCACTTGTTCCCATGTGCCTGCAACAGGAAATCAAACACGAAAGTATTTAATTTTTTTTATAGCAAAGTATGTTAGTTTAGAATTATACATTCTGGAGTAAGCTATGGGAACACATTGACAAGGCATTATGCAACATAATCTCTTTATAACATTCTACGAAAAGGTCCACTCATGGTTCAAAACTCACATATTGAAAAATGGATGGCTACAAATGACAACTAAATATACTTTACAGTTCCTTGCAGATTCCATTTATTTGGTATGCTCTAAAGCATTAAAATGAAAGAATAGTAAGGGATGAATCGACATGAAATCATTTCATTAAATTCTCGACCTTCTAGCTTCTTTGCTTTCATCATCCACAACAGACAAATTCATCACTGCACTGTTATCCCCATCAGTTTGGTTATGATAGATCTGTAAAACATATGATACAGCACGGCTATGTGAGCACTGAAAATAGAGATGGGATACAACCGGAAATGCACTAATACATTTATTACAGAGCTAAAAATGGTTAATTGGTTCCAGACAGTTGACCATGCTTGAAAGTGAAAATTTCTACATGAATGCCAGCAACATAGCATTGAATATCTGTAATCGAGAAATATGACATACCTTAATGGACCTATACAAGAGCAATGAAATCTGGGTATTTAACGTGCAAGTATAAAATGAAGACGAATTGAAACCAATCTCATGAGCGCATTCATGATATGCGAAGAGTCAATAACCGACACAAGACTGATTGAGGAAAGAATCAAGACAGAACAAATAACAGCAGGAAGCAGAAACAGTTTATTCAACTCAGTTAATTGACACCATTTGAATCAAACGGACAATCATCAATTGAAGTCGCAAAACCATTTGTACAAACAATTGCTCTGAATGTACTAGAGAGCGATGGTGGGATGTGTTGTAGGGTTTTGAAGGGAAGAGGGGAAACCGTACCTTGTATTTGGAGATAGCGTCGTTGAAGGCACTGATAAGCATCGAATCTTCCCAGAGATCGTCTTCCCCTTTGCCCATTTTCACAGATCTTCTTGTTGCGATTTCCCAGTTAAAACGCGAGTGTAAAACCCTTCAATTCTTAAAACCTCTTGAGCATCCAAGAATGATTTCACCCAAATAATACTGGCTCCCTCCCAAAATACTGTACAACCGGTTCCAATAATCTATCACTAAATATTCATTTGTTTTTTAATTCACCTTAAAAAATGAGTATTTACTTATTTCTTCGCAAATGAATATTAAATTATTCGAAAATGAACATTAATGTGGATATACGAAAAACATCATATTGATGCTTCCTTCTTAATTTTGAGCAGGTCATGGTAGTCTTATCGAGCCTCTAACTTTTAACAATGATCATAATTAGACCAACGTCATTCAAATACTATGTCATAATGCACATACGCCAAACCACACTTAAAGATTGAATCTGATTACTCAAATAATCTAAGCGAACACTACAATCTCACATCTCTCTTTCATGCTTGTCAAACCCAAACGCTATATTTTGTTCTTATTTTTTGTGATTTCTTTGATCATATCTCGCCTTAGGTCATGTACTTCTCAACTTATTTTTTACTTATTACTTACTCCGTATTTTTATTGGAATTAAATCATATTAGATCAAATAATATAATATTTTTAGATATAACTACATTCAGATAAAATCAGATTAGATCAAACTAGATCATATCAAATCAAACTAAATCAGATTAGGTGAAAAAAACATGTCCTTAGCTTCTCTTCAATTTTTGAATTAATTCCCTATCAGTGAATCTTTTGAAAGAGCATTCTCTGCGAGTGGAATCCACAAAAGTCGAATGATGAACAATACTACTTGTACTGTTAATGCTTTTAAATTTTGTCAGGGACACAAGAGTGTGACACTTGTTGAAGATCTAAAAAACGGCATTTGTCCACCTAATTTGACACTCGTATTATACTCCGTACCTATTTTATTATGTTCAATTTGTTTAAAACTTTGGAACTCAAATTTAATATTCAATGTATATTATATTCATTTTCTTTAAATTTTTTTGTTCAATTATTTAATATAAGCTTTTAGCCAAAAATTTAATTTAGATCCTCTAATTATTCTATATACATTTGTCTATTTATCATTATACGGAGTATCTAATTTGAGTTCAAAGATGCAAAAAGAGTCAAACTAGGATGATATTTTTGGAGAAAACTACTAAAATAAAACTAAAACAAAGTTGAGATGTTTTTAAAATTTTACGCATGTAATTTATTTGGATTTTTTAAATTTAAATGTTGTGAAGTTTTTAGTTTTTACATCTGACTTTTAAATTTACTTCTGCACCTAATTCATCTAACTTTTCTCAACTACTACACCTAACTTAACTCGAATCCTACATCTAACTCAAATCATGCACCTAACTTAACTTTTCTCAACTACTAAACAAAATCTCGCACTTAATGCAAATTCCACATAACTTTAAGCAACTACCACACATCCTCAATAACTCAACTCTACTATAAATTTGTGACAAAAAATAATAATCTCACTACTCGCACAAATCTTTTCTTTTTAAAAAAATGGACTCTAGTGCTAGCTTTATCCTTCTAGTTCATTGGAATGGTGAGTTCAAAATTGTAGAAAATGAGGTGGAATACTCATTGCATGCAAACAAGGCTTTCATCTCTGATTTTGAAGTCTCATTTGAACAGGTCTTCAATGAATTCCTTATTGCTGGTTATAATTCAATCAATACAATTTGGAGGAAATATCACAAATACAAGGATGAAGTATATAATGCCTCACAACCTTTCCCAATTTTCGAAGAGCGGACTTGGAGGTGCGACCAAATACGGGGTAGCAGTCACAACTCGGTCGTCCAATAAATACATGTTTCATTAATAATATGGGCATGCGACAACGAAGACAACGTTGTGACATGTAGCTCATTTATAAATTACAAGTTGTAATTCTTGTTTATGTGGTACATTTCAATTATGTATTTCTTTTGGGCAAAAATGCGTGTGTCACACGCTATTTTTATATTATTCTGTACAGAGACTTAAAGTAATGTTGTAAGATTTGTATTTATTTATCTATTTTTCATTAATAAATTATCTATTATTATAAAAATAATAGATCAAAGGAAAAAAAACATAATTTTAATCTACACTAATTAAAAACTAAATAAATTAAAAAATTGATAATATTATTTAACTAAAATATAAAGAAAATTGTAAGTTCTTTGTTAATTAATCGGAAGTGCGCCCTAGCCTTCCAATGCTAATTTCCAATTTTTTTCTGTAAAAAGTCATCCATTTTTCAATCATTTTTACAATCTATTTTTGAATTACTTTTTCCAGCCTGTTTTACATAGCCTAATTGCTGAAAGGACCCAAGTTTTAAGTTTTCAATTTTAGATTGAGGGACATTTTTAGAAGTCAAAGTCATATTAATCTATCCCTTAAAAATGGCCCAAAGTCGATACGAGAATATAGTTTTAGGATGAAGGGAGTATTACGCTTAGGAAGACAATACTAATTTTCGACTAATATATACCTATTGTAAGGTACTCCCTCCGTCCCGGAGTATTCGTCCAGTTTTGACTTTTGGAACTATTTATCTAAGCACTTTGACTCATCAAATTCTCTCAATGTGTAAGCCTAAATATAATCATGTGCGATCTTGTTTGATTTGTCTTAACCTATAGATTATTAATATATAATTTCTATAATTTTTTTAATATACAAATTACAAGATAAAATGGATATGGTGTGTAAAAATGAAAGTGGACAAAAACTCTAGGACGGAGGTAGTATATATTACGCATCGGAAGAGAAGGCCAACTTGCACATTTGCAAGCAGAAGAGATGATCGTGCACCTAAAGAGAGAAGACCAAACTTGTAATACCTTGATTTGAAAATAAATGGATTGGAGAAAGAAAAGGCTCAAAACGATTGATATATTACTCATACCAACAAAAAACATCTTCTTCTTGAAAGCTCATCACTTAGAAACTCTAAAGTTAAATCTGATTGACTTGGAGCAGTTCTAGGATGGGTGGGTGACCTATGGGAAGTTTCCTAGGCAAGCACGAGCGAGAATAAAGTGTGGACAGAAATTTTGTGGGGCCAATCTACAATCATATGAACAGACAGCTTCAGCCAGGATCGGGTCGAGGTGTTACCAAATGAGTTGCACACCTACAACTCTGAGGCATGCCCCAGTTATGATTTGACCAAACGAGTGAGGACAAACCATTTATTTTAATCCGTAGGTCTAAGCCAGAGACAAAAGTTTCTTGTGATGGGGTCGCAATGCGATGTGCTAACAAATATTTAAAAAATTACGCTTTAAAATTTTGTTGGTGGGTGTCGTTGCTAGTAGAAATTACACTAGACATAGAACCACTGCAAGTACAATGTGTATCAATCTGTGACTAAAACTTAATTCATCTACTCTCACAGTCTCACGTGATTGCCTGAATCCTCAAATTTATCCTTTTATTGAGGAAAGCCTACACGAAGTCACAGACTAGCAATCCCCGATCCGTTGGTGTAACAACCTTAACTCTTATGTCAAATAACAAAAGAAAGATTGGTCGTAAATAAGACTAAAAGATAATCATTTTCTTTAAATAGGACCCTTTAAGTTTTTTTCCCTAAATAGAACTAAAGAAGATATAACTGGTCATTATTGCTGTTATGTTTTGGTCATTATTGTGATGTTCATTGTTTGTGATGGTCATTATCATCGTCATATTTTGGTCATTAAGTGTCCAAACGTTGAAGTCAATAAGACTAGTCCTATATTGGGAAAGTGACCATGTTTTAGTTCTATTTAGGTAAATTTCCTATAACAAAAATGACATGATGTATTTGAGGGAGGGTATGCCCAATTTTATAGTATAATTTACGGATTTAAGAAAATTGGTTTTTTTATCTTTATAAACCTCAACAATACAATTTACGGAATATAATTTTGAAATTTAAATGCTCCGGAACAGGAACTCTCTCACCTTATTAGCTAGCTTTTGAGATGTGACTCCCTCATCTGTTGTATCATTAAAGAGCAAAACACCCCCAAACACACACATGACAGTATGACGCAACAACCTATTTAATCTTTTAAAAATACAATGGCATACACAGTTGGAGATAGGTTAGACGAGATTGGCATCATAGTTAGACTATGTAAGGCTAACAAACATCAATTATAGTAATTGAGTGACCATATCTGTTCAATTTTCTCTTAGTAAAAGCCAACACTACAAAACATGCCGTTTATGATAACAAAAAGGCAACAATAATACTACAACACAGGGGAAGAAGAAGAAGCTTGAGAAACTATTGATGGATCACAACCTGGAGGTTTGATATCTGGCCAGTCACCCCGGCACCCGAATCTCACGTATAAACTTTTTTTACCTGTTAAAAAAATAGTTGATGAAATCATGTCATATAAGTTGGTCCACATTCAATCCCGCCAATGTGCATTGCAAATTAAGAGCCTCTTTGGTAAGATTTAATTTGGTTGAGACGATTCAAGGGACTTGTTAAACTTGATGATATTGAGGTTCAACTTGATAAATTATATGCAAAAACATGTATTCTTCTAGAGAGTAATGCTTCAAATTAAACGGTTTCTAAAAATGGGGCGAAAGTCAAAATTGTCATTCTCATTCATTCAAGTAACTTCTGCACACAAAAACGTACCTTTTGCACTACCTTTATCCTCATCAATCCATTCAACCAATGCAGTCAAATACTAATTGTTTGAGGGCACCAAGTCATATAGCTATGAGTTGAGAGAGCAAAGTACCTGTGAGGTTTTTATCTGACAAAATCAACTGTTTTAGGGCACTAAGTGCAGCTTGAGAAACTCTCCAGGAGCACGCGGGATCCCAACCTTCAAGCTTAACAACTACCTCTGCATTAGAGTAACCTTGAAGGTCACTTTCCATCAGCCTTTTGGCTTCCTCTTTTGCTGTATCTTTGTCTGTGTTATACAAGTCCACGAAAACCAAAAGGAAACCCTGGGTTTAGTATAAGTGTCTAACGATGGAATT